ACAACTAATAATAACAACAACTCAATGAATTTATAAATAAACAAACTTAAGTTATTTCTCCTGTGAATTTGTAACGTGAATCGAATGGAAAATATTGTACATTAATTCTCACGTTACTCTGTGTTTTTATTATTATTATTGTTATTATTATTATTGTTATTATTATTATTATATTGTTGTTATTATTATTATTATTCTCTCTTTCTTGCTCTGTCTCTCTCTCTCTTTTAGCTTCTGTTACTTCATTTCTTCCCCTCTTTCATCATGTTTTCTCTCTCCTAAAATTTTTTTTTATTTTTCATTCATTTAATCTTCACTTTCTTTTCTTCTATCTCTCTCTCTCTCCTTTTCTCTATCTTTCTCTCTCTCTCTTTCTTTCTACTTTTTTGTGTAAATTAGTTTATTCATTCTTTTTTCTCTTTTTCTCTTTTTCTCTCTCTCTTTCTTTCTTTCTTTCTCTCTTTCCGTCTTTCTCCCTCTCTCTTTTCTCTTTCTCTCTCTCTCTTTTCTCTTTCTCTCTCTTTCTTTCTTCTCTTTATCTCTATCTTCCCAGGCAGCCGGCAAACAAATATCATTTAAAATTTTTTCTTTCTCTCTCTCTCCCACTTCATTTATTCATTTTTATTTTGTCATCCTCTCTGTTTCTCTCTTCCTTTTTCTCTCCTTCTCTTTTTCTCTTTCTTTCTCTATCTCTCTTTCTCTCTTTTTCGCTCTCTCTCTCTGTCCCTCTCTATCTCTTCAGCAAACAAACAAGCTTCATCTTCCATCCATATGGTTTTCATTTAATGGACACACAATCCTTGAAGCCTGTCTCATCCAACTAATTGCTAATTGAATAGAAATAATAATAAAAATAATAATAATATTAACAACAACAACAATAATAATAATAATAATAGTAACAATAACAAGAACAAAACTGTATTTTTATATTTAATTCACTGCTGCTCTGCGGGCGCTAATCCATCCATTAAGCTTTTCCGTATGAAGCGTGTTTGTGTGTGTGTTTGTTTGTTTGTGTGTGTGAAAGAGAGAGAAAGAGAGAAAGAGAGAGAGAGAGAGGAAAGAAAAGGGTAGTGATTGAACGAATCAAAGTTTATGTAGATGACATTAACTTTTATTTTATAACGTAAAATGGGATGGCTTGAAAAAAATTTTAAATTTTTTGAAAAATTAAATGATGAGATAAAAAGAAGAATAAAAAAGAAAGGAGCGTGTGTTTGGGAGAATGAAGAACAAAAGAGAGAGAGGAGGGGGGGGGAAGAAAAAGAGAGAGAGAAAAAGGTCCCG